AACTCCAACCACCAAACTACCCGTTGATCGCTACGGCTCCGCTGATTGGTCGCCATATTCTTTAAGAAGCATACACAAATGTGTTATTCCAGATATATTATGAACATCTGAAGAATTAGTCAAGTATTTAAGGTTACTCAGGTGTAGAAATTTGGTGAAACCACTACCAATCACACTGTGGTACAATATTCTCTGCACCCCCTCTGTTACTGGCAGAAGGATGGGGCAGGGGGGGAACAATCATTCCAAAATTTCTTCCCATTAAACAGGAAAAATGTTTTGGATTTGAAGCCCACAGCTGCTAAGTCTCAAGATATTAAAGGAAGATTTATATTGTTTTTAATATTAGAGGAATAGATGAGAAACATAAGCTGGAGATGAAAGATTTGATAAAAGATAGTTTGATGTGCTAGATTTATCCAAAAAAAAGATACAAATTAAGCATTGAATGTAATGAAATGCACTTTTCTAGTGGACTACTCAATAGCTACCTGAGCAACAGCTTTTGATCTCCCAAGACTTAGGGAATCACATAGGACTGAGACCCATTTGAGCATACTGGGAGCCAGGAACAGAAACTAGCTTTCACTACAAGACAAGAAGAGTAAGGATCAGAGATCAACCTGGCTGTACCAGACATACAGCCTGACAAAACATCTTTCTATTTTAAGTTTTCCTTTCGCTCACATTTTATGTGCAATTCCACCATGATCTCATTTGTTGAAGGCTTTTGCATTATCATCTTGCTTGTTTCTTTCCAACACATCTAAGGTCATATAATAATGGTCTCACACTCACACGAGGCAGGACCAGCCTACGCAAAATCAATATTTGGAAGGATTATGTTTTTGTGTCAATCACAATTTGATATAGTTGAGGTTAGGGACCTGATATTAGCTCCTCAATTTAATACCAACCTTGGTAAAACTAGTTCCATAATTTAAAACTACACTTGGTATAATTGCTGTAGCTTCTTAGTTTAATACCACTTAAGGTGAAGTTAATTTGTATATACAAAAGTTAATTTGTATACACAAAAATCTTTGGCATATCTTCAATTTATTATTAGATGTGGAGTAACTCAATGTCATTCTTGATATAACAAGTGTTTTAACTTAATGCCACCCTTGGTATAAAGAGTTACTCAATTTATTACCATCTTTGGTACAATTAGCTTCTCAGTTTATTACCATATTTGGTACAACTAGCTTCTCATTAACTCATTATTATAATGAGTTAATGGATCATTAACTTCCTAACAAACAAAACCCAGAGTGTCATTGTCAACAAAGTAAAATTTGGATCATCCACCATGAAAAGCTTAGTCCCCCAAGGTACCGTACTTGCTCCTGTACCTCTCATCCTCTTACCAGACATAGGACAAGAATACAAACCATAGTACTGTATCAACCTTTACAGATGACACTAAGGTTTTTATGAAAATAGACAATATAGAGGACACAGGAAGCCTTCAATCTGATATAAATTAAGTCTTTCACTGGGCAACATAATAATACAGTATGATGTTTAATGAAGATAAGTTCCAGCTTCTGCACTAAGGAAGAATTGCAAATATTGTATAAAAATGGAAACCACATATAAAATTCAGTCAAATCACACAGTAGAACAAAAAAGCAATGTAAAGGATCTGGGAGTAATAAGGTCAGAAGACCTTACCTTTAAAGAATACAATAAAGTAGCTGTCACACCTGCAAGAAAATGAAAGACTGGATAACAAGAATTATTAACAAGGAATGCCATACCACTGATGATACTTTTCAAGACACTAGTGCTCTCTATGGTAGAATATTGTTGCACAATAACAGCTCCAATGAAAGATAGAGAAATTGCTGGCCTAGAGAATATGCAAAGATCCTTTACTTCTAGAATCCATTTTATAAAACATCAAAATTATTGGGAACGAATAAAGTTTTTAAATATGCATTCTCTATAATGCAGATGAGAAAGATACATCATAATTTACACTAAGAAAATAGTAACAGGACTGGTTCCAAATCTGCACACAGAAATAATATCACATGAAACCAGGAGTCATGGCAGGATGTTCAAAATATCCCCATTGAAAGGCAGAGGTGCAATAAATTCACTGAGATAACTCTCAACATCAAAAACCCAAGACTGTTCAACACTTCCCCTCTTCACATACAGGGCATAACTGACTGGCCTCTCATGTTTATGGCGTTCTCTCTTGAACACCACCCCACCTTCATGCACCCTGCACGTATTGCGAAGAAGAAGACGAACACCATCTCCAAAGATTACCTGATCAACCAGGCTGTGATTCATATGTCAGGCCATATCCAACAGCTTGGTTGATCAGACAACCAGCCTGGAGGCCTGGTCAGAGACCAGGCCGCAACATGTTGATCCTTAAGATCACCACACAAGGTTGGTAGAATCCTGTGATCAGAGTAACTGGTTCACAACCAACAGGCCCTGGCTTCAGTTCCTGCACAGAATGAATGTAGTTGGGAACATTTCCAAACACATAGTAATAAGCAGATTTCCAAACTACCTAGTAATAAATAGATAACTAAAAAGTTAGGTAACTGATGTGGTTGCATCCTGTGGAAGATCATGGGAGGATTAGTGAGGCCCTTGATAAGGCTAACAGCCTTCCAGTTCCAAAGAATGGGAAACAGAAATCAACTCTTCAGTTCAATTCACTATTTTAAATGAGATACAAAACTACTTCATATTTAAACTTCCTTGATGCAAATAATTCACTGGTGTGTCTTCACCTGATACAAACAATTCCACTATTTTACAAGCAAAAATTAATGCCAGCTACTGTTTTATATATTTCAGTATATTTCATGTTTCTACTGTTTTAGTCGATTCGCTAAACTGGACATTATTTGTTACCATTCAAGCAGTCTTCATGCCACAACAAAATAAAAGATTCAACAAGGCCTTTGCAAGGTTTTTTTTCATAACTATGGGCAAGACCTACTACTGCCACATATACTCTAAAGATGCATCATCCATCGTACAAACAACATATATAACTAATATATTATTTGCAATACGTAACAAGAAGCACACAAAACAAAATGTTGGAAAATATAGAACTTCACAAATATTTTAGAGCAGACAGTATAAAAAATAAGTTCCCACAATAGATTATTTAATACTCAAACGAATGATTAAAGCAGCAAAATCTCAAATCATTGCTTACCGATATTAAACACCCAATCCATGACCTTAGATTAGCAGGAAGGGATACATCGACAGTGTCCAAATCCTTGGCAAAACGATTCACAATTCGCCCAATAGGAGTCATGTCAAAGAAGGACATTGGGCTGTGTAAAACATTATTTAACATCAACTTGTGCAAAAGCCTTGATGAATTAACTGTTCCTTTTGCAATGATCATGGAACCAGTCAAGATGAACACCGCTGTAATTAGCAGGAAAAGGATATTAGCAGCTTTAAAAGAAACTTAACCTTCATTTATGTATATCAAGTTTCATTTGTAAGCTATCATTGGAACGGATATACAGTATACACCAAGAGATGTTCCACGTTTCTTGGTGCATATACTTTAGTTCCGGGCTATGCTTAGGATTAAGATACGTTTTCTGGTTGGCCAGTAAACAATTGCGGTGTCTTTAATAATCATTCCACTCTTGATAGGCATTAAGGCCAACACCAAATCCAACTAGAATTTTTTTCTCAGTAGCTTTATATGTTATATTCTAAAATAAATTATTTCTTCAGTATCTTGAAGCATCACTTCCAATAACCTTTCCTGTTTGATCTTGTCAGAGTGTATCCTTATTATATAACGCATGTCTAATTTTTCCACTAAAAAAAAAAAAAAAAAAAAAAAAAAAAAAAAAAAAAAAAAAAAAAAAAAAAAAAAAAAAGGGTTGAATGTAATGAAACGCCAATTTCTGGGCGAGTCTCGGAGGCTCCCTGAAGCTATCGTACATGGATCAGTGCCATACTATCAGGTGCCATCAGTTGTGGAGTTCTATTGGCCTACCGGGAACCATGAGCCAGAACCTGGCCTGGCCCCCCTCAGAAGAGGAGCAGGGAACGATGGCCTTTGAAAACTTTAAATATAACGTTTAATCATACTTGCCACCACCAGCAAAGCACCCAGAAATGTAGGTGAACCAAAAACTACATGGTTTAAAAACAAGACTGTAGCCTCAGAACTGTCAAAAGAACTCCCTCAACAATGAAAACAAATCACCAAAATTTCCATGATAAATATACTGATAAAATTATTACAAAGTTATTCAAAAGTTCTGAGAAGAAAATGTGTAGCCTTCCTCCTGCAGTAGAAACCTAAATGACAGTGAGGTCATAATTAGAACATCCCTGGCTTGATTCCCATAGGAGGATAGAGATGACTGGGTATGTTTCCTCTAACCTGATGCCTCTTTTTTTATCTAGCAGGTGGATGCAGTCTGCAAGGCATGTCTGGATCTTGTTAATGCTTGGTGCTAGACTATGCTGATGCTTCCTGTTTTATCCTCTGTTTCACTAATTGTTTTATCACTGATTTTCTTTATTTACATTCAGAGAGCTATTATACCCAATTTGCATCATACATGTAAAAACCCAGACAAATGCTTTTAAAGCATCATACAATGATCGCATTCCCTTAGTAACATTCACGACAATAACCGCATTAATACTATGAAATGGGATATTTTGAGGTATTGTTTACTATACTTTACTATACAAAATACTATGAAATTTTGAGGTATTGTTTAAAAACTTGCCTATCACAGTAAACTGATTCCATTTTAATTTACATGTTAGGAGAGAGCCAAGAGACAGAATAGAAGAGAGGTTGTAGTGATAAAATAATACATTAAGGAAGAATAATTTGAATGATTTAACATTTGTAATACTTCTACAAAATAGTGTGGCTACAAAAATACAGCAGGTAAATACTACTTCAGTATTCTAAACTTAATTTGTATTATAAAAATAAGAAATAGAAATGTTCACTAATAACTCACCTTGTCCAATGCCAAGAGCACCATAGACCCCAAGATATTTGTCTCTAACTGATGTATCCATGGTGCCATTTATAACTGCCTTAGGATCTTGTGACCATGCTGTTAGCCACACATTGGAGCCTACAGTACAAGCTTGTGACAGCACATAGAATATAATAGTGAAAGATGCTGATAACACTCCAATAGCACGAATGTAGTAGCCATAGACTCCAAATGAAACCTGGCAGATTGAAAAATTAATGAAACTGTTAGAATTATTGTAAAATTTCCCTGTCTACAACTGATGCCTTGAAATTACTCTTTTTTTAATGAAGCAGCCTTATAAAATATCTTTCCTAGACATCTCACTACCTCCAAGTTCTAAAGACACCTGAAAGAGCATTTAAAACCTTTTAAATATTTCTACATGCTGATTTGGCTATCATATTACAGTATGTACTTCAATAGTTTCACTGGTATGCACGAGAAAAAAAGTATTGGGAAAACATAAGGATTGCCTTAGCAAGCACACACACACACACACACATGAAAAGTGAAGGATTAAGAATGAGAAACAGTATTCATTGTAATAAAACATCAAATGGGTTACAAAGGGAGTTTAGATAAATGTTAGAACCATCATTAAGAAAAACAAACTTTACTTGCCACATGGCAGTGCTTAGAGTTGGCTTTAGTTGCCCATGGAAGTACCTAAATGGTGGAAGTAGAGGGACTACAACTCCTTCCACACTGATTGCTATTTTATGTGGTTTCAATTATGCAGTAATGGTCTGTACCACTTTCTCTATTTTAAAAACACCCTTTAACCCTTTCCTGCAACCCCTGGGGCAATATTTATTTTCTTTGCATATGATACAATAAAGGTATCACACAACTGCCAACATTTTTGGTCTGTCCTTCATGGTTTAGCTGTGGTGGTCTGGGGAAGCTTTAGAATTTTAATGGGTACAGGCAGAAGGCACTGGTGGCATTTTACAAGTGATACGTGGTAGCAGGGAATACTGGACAGCATATTTTCAATTTGTTTTCATTAGTTTTAATTTTCCTTTTTATTTTATCCTAATGATGCATTAGATGCCCCAACATTTAATTGCACCCTTGGTTCACTAATACAGTATTTTGATTTACAAATAGAGTACCAATATACCGGTATCTGTATATTTGCTATGTGTGCATTTCCAGTGTACATTTTACATTATTATTTTTGCACATGAACAAAGCTATCATCTAGTTTTGGTCTTTTGAACATATGCAAGGTGTGATAATCATTGTCACAGTTACCCCATGCACAAGGCAACAGCACATTCCTTGTACCATGGGAAGTTTCTTCCCCTTTTCACCTACGTGTATCTGTTGGAGGAATTCATTCTTTCCACACATTTTTGTTCTGGGCAAGCAAAAGACAATTTCTAACTGTTCTGATAGTTATATCAGCATGTAGAATTCTGTATGCGATACTTCAAGTACATTGCCGAGAGTTCTAAACACATGAAAGTGCTTGAAATGACTAGGAAGGATTCAACATGCAGTCATTTAATCAAGAATGAAAAGTTATTATAAAGAGCATCATCAAAGACAATAGATATACAAGGTCAAAATATTGAACAACAATTAAAAAAGTATGTTATTGAGTTTATTAAACATTTATTTTTGAGCAGCCCCATTGTTGCTCAGTGAGCCAGAACCTGGACCCATCAAGAGCACAACATTCCCGCCAGGCACTACTGACCTGTGCCCTACAGTGACAAGTAGAGTATCTATGCAAATGGTCTTAGCACCTAAATTGGAAAGCAGAGATTAAAGTTCCTTCCACGATCAAAAGGATCACTCGCAATGACACCAAAGAGCAGAAACAAAAACTTAAATCCCATCTGAGAAATAACAAGAAACACACAGAACACCAGTTAAATCTATGCTAACTACCATATGCTACTCCAGCTATGAGCTCCTGAGGAGGAACAGAAAAAGTGGACAAGGAGAGCGTCTTTAGATTTAGACAAAGTGGGCAACAGAACATAAGATATGGAAATGGAAGCTGGAAATGCAGATGAGTGGAAAAATGTAAAGATATACCCATATCCTGCACTTGTGGTTAACAAGTAGAAGATAACCCTGATGCACAGCTGATGTAGATAAAAAATAGTCAGAAGCATGCAAACAACTGGTTACATTTTGTAAGGTGAACATTAAGTAATGAGCACCCTGTGCTGACAAAGCTAGACAGCTTAAATGAATTTGCCTTTGCAGAGTTGATGAAGACATCATCATGAAGACATGAAGTGAGCATCAGGTAACATGTGAAGATAGCTTGCTCCTCCGACCTGATAGTGAAGGTAGTACTGCCATCTCAATTAACAAAAGAATATAAAAATAAAAGAAACTGTAGAAGGCCTATTGGCCCCTTTGAGGAAGGAAGTAAAGTAGCATTTAGTGGGCTGCCAAGATGTAACTGGCATTTGGAAGGTGATTGAATTTTCTCTCCTATAATAAATACCCTCTTCAGCTAAGGAGGCCAGACCATTTACAGACATTTGTCACCATGAGGCACAGGTTAACACAATTTAATGAGTTTGTGGTATTCTGAGTGGTCCAAGGACCTGGTTTGGGAAGCAAATGATATGACCTTGCTCAGAAAAATATACACAGTGTATTGTAATAACAATAAACAATTCATATTTGCCACAAAATAAACAGATCTTACCTTGCCAGTCTCTGCCTTCTCAGCTTCAATAAGTTTCTGACCAACTTTGTCTTGTGCGACTGGAGCTGAAGGGGCTGTTACCGCTTTTCCTTTCTCAGACTCGCTAATGGTTTTTTGGCGTGTTATACCGCTACTTTTGACTTTAGTATCACTGTAAAATTATGTATACTGTATTAGTACTGAGTATATATACAGGTATTCCTTATTATATGGCAACTCAGTTTATGGAATGCTGATAAATAATAGCTTATTAATTAGAAAACAAATTTGATATAAGGTATGTTAAATTAGCATATATCTAATTTTTACACTCTAAATAAAAAGAAAATTAGTAAAAAATTAATAATGCAGGAGCTATCATTTACTCTTGCATGCACTTGAATCTATACTGCATTGATTTAATGCAATCCTAATGTCACCCAAGATTAACTTATTTTGGTAATAATCACCACTGGTACTGTACTGTTCAGTATTTCACCCTTTTCTGAAAATCCCTACAGCTGTAAAAGTCAAAATGTCTAGAATGAGGCAATTAAGTGCAATCAATAGCAGAAAAGTAAAAATAAGACTTTGAGAATACATGTAAAGCATTTTTCTGTGTATGAATCAGTTGCCCATTAAGGTAAAACCCACAGTGTCCTCTGGAATATGGATCATGGTCTTTAAAACAGGTGACATTCTTGGCATCAGTGCCACATGGAACATTACAAATAGTCTCTGTAGACATAAGAGATGCTAGAGGTCACTTAACATTAACTCAATACTGAACAACACAGAATAACAGACAAAAGGAACTTTCCATGACACTAAACCGTTTACAAGATCTAACCTGGAATCAAGAGACCACATAAAAAGGAATCTACTTAAAATGTTCATTGCTTGCCTCAAAACTTTGTATCCTTAACCTTTAAACTGTAAATCTGTAAATATGAGTTGAAGTACAGTAGTTAGCTAAATGCTTATGTTGCTTTCACACCTGACTTGATTCCTATGGGTTTTAATGCTTTGGAATTTAGCCGGGGGTGATCTTCGATCACGTTTACGCGATTCTTACTTGGCTGACTGACAAACCCAAGAATGGGGTTGCATGTGTGCTTTGCCAATAATGTTTCCTTTGTGCCTGGCATGATTGCCAGTCTGAGCAACAGGCCTAGTAGCTGATATTGCCTCCAGGAGGTCTGTTTATCTCTTTTCCTCTGTTGGCTTGATCAGGTTCTTTTCCAAGGCAATTCAGAGCTAAATTTTGATGCTTGCAATTTCAGATTATGAGATAGCTTTTTTTTTAAGCATTGTTATTTCTTCCTGTTGCCTATATCATTTTGCATGTTGACCGAAGGGATGCTCTCTTCCTACAGCTGTGGGCTTTATTGGGTCTATGCTCTTGTAGCAGCAGCTGAAGAAGGCATTTTCATTTTGGTAAGTAGTTGTTGGCCTAGACCCTTGTGGCAACAGTGCTCAACCTGTGAGCTTATGATGGCAGCTGATGGCCTCTGCCCTTGTGACAAATGCTTTGGCCTTCTGCCTTTCTCTTGGTTAGTCCTGGTGATTTCTGGGCTATGGGTAACCCAGCAGGCTGGTGACCATCTTGCATGCCTTTGCCTTGCTATTCAGGCCTTGGTCTTTAGCTGCCAAAGGGGTGTTTGCTCTTACTATTGGAAACTCTTCAGAACCTCATCTTCTGTGCCTCCTGCTCTGGCCAGAGTTCAATGTTCTCTTTCTAGCTTCCCTGTTAATCCTCCATCAGATGGGGGCTTTGTACTGTTTCAGCTTCCCCCCTCCCCCTCTCATATTAAGGAGTGCAGATGATGAGTATGGCTGAAGATATGATGACCAAATCACACATCAGAAAATGAAATAACCACTGCCACCACCAGCACACTCACTCAAAGTGGGTGTGCTGGTAATGGTAGTGACCATTTCCTCCAGGGGTTTTAACAGCAGTATGAGTGTCTACCTTTGCTCTGAAAGTCCCCTGGTTTTGTAGTACTGGATGTTGCTAGGGGGCTTGGCATCAGGAGGTATAAGGTCAATGTGCTTGGAACTCCTCCCCCTTTTTTTTCTCCTGGTTTTGTGCTTCGTAGGGTTCAGAGCTTTTGGTGTTTGGTTGAGAAGGTCTTGGGTTTGCCTTTTATCCATCTTTGCAGATTTTTTTTGTCTAGGTCGAAGGAACTTAGACATAAACAAGCCATGGGTAACAACACCAGATGATCACCATTTGTAATTATTAAGACTTTATAATATTCCCTCCACCTACTGGTAGCATCATGTCCATCTGCTAACAAAATCTCCCTACTTTCCCAACATCTTCACTATTTAATTTTTCCTTTCCCTTGCCAGTACGCTCCATGCAGGTCGGCGTTCGATCCCCGACCGTCCAAATGGTTGGGGCACCATTCCTTCCCCCGTCCCAGTGCTATATACAGTAGTTGCTTTTTCCTGATAGTTCCCTTTCTGAAGATTAGGATCAGGAGATACTAATCTCCTGATTAGTATCATTGACCTTCTTGCATATACCAGTAATTCCTAACTCCATACAAAATCTCTATTCAACTTTCTCACAAATATCCTACAAATTATTACCCAAGATACCACCTGTGACTAATATCTTATTAGTTGGATGGTATTTTAACTCCCTCTGCCCCCTGCTCCATCACAACTATCTCAATTAAGAGATATGACAAAAATTCTGCCAAAATGGTTCACCGTCACCTATTTTTGGACTCCTAATTATGCTGTTTATGATTTAAATTAAGTTTCGTTTACTTCTCTTTTCACTTACCCTTTATCATGTTCCACATTTTCACTTTCACTATCCTGTCTCTTGCGAGAAATCTGTCGTTGAAGAGTTTCACGACCAATTTTACCCTCAAGTTGCAGCTTAATTTCCTCCAGACCTACAAAAAAACAATGACCAAAAACAAATTTAGACAAATTTAAAATACATACATTAGCAGGTCACTGAAAGATGAAAATCCCTGCTGAGAGTCTAAATGCAGCCAAATTAATTTCTTAAGTGCATGCTTTTGATAACATTTCTAGTAAGAGAAAAATCTGCTCTTTCCAAATGTGCCATTGAAAATGTAAAAAAAATCATTGTTGAATGTAATGAAATGCCTCTTTCTAGATGAGCCCTGGTGGCTCCGTGAAGCTATCTCACTGCTCCATGCAAATGGGCCACAGGGAGTTCTGTTGGGCCTACTGGAAACCAGAACCAAAACATGGCTAACTCACAGTACAGAGTGACTGACAATTCAGCACCACACTGGGAAAGCATCCAGAAAGTCACTGAAGGTTTATAGACAACTGGATGGTTAACAAAGACCAAAGCATCGAAAATGCCAAACAACTATGCAAACAATTCACTCAGACCAAGGGAAACATTCATAATTAACATAAAACTCGTAGAGCTAAACGCCAACATCAGGCGATGAATTTACTTACTGTGCTTTACTTACTGTGGGTAACTATGAACCAGGGCATATTATTTTACCAGTAACAATAAGAAAAATATTTCAAGTTCCAGAAAATTTAAAAATTTGTAACTAATTTGTCCAAATTTTTAAGGTTGCACTGTACACTCAAAAGCTCTTTTAGCAAAATTTTCTAATACAAATATTTGGTGTACTGTATACAGTACCTGGATTTACAACCTCTTCCCCAGGCCACTTATAGAGTAAGGTTTTTAAGCCAATGACTTTCATCACAGAAACCTGCACACAATATTTTAATACTATACGTACCTTCCACAGTATCAGCCTCCTCTTCTTTTTCTGATAAATACTGCACAAGAAATTCTTGGAACTCTCCTTTTTTTTCGAGCAGCTCTAAATAGGTTCCCTGTTCTGTAACCACTCCATTTTTGAGAACCACAATTTTGTCAACTTGTGGTAGGTATGTAACACCATGGGTTACCAAAATTCGAGTCTAGAAGGAAATAAAGGCACTCGTTAAAAAAATACAGAGAACACACAGACTTGAAGCAAACCCATAGAAAGTGTTATACTGCACAGATTATCATATTCTCTCTGCACTATGAAATTTTGTTTTGGTTTGGTGTTGGGCCTAAGACTATCAACCTCTGAAGGGCTATTTAGGCTACCACAATTACTTTCTGACCAATCAGTGAGTGTTCATTAGCCCTGAATATAGTTAAATACCAAAGTAAACTAAGTGTACATGCACCAATGAACAAGCCACTTGATCTGGTTCTCTGCCTTCCCTCTTACACCAAGACTATTGAGAATGAATATGAGGAAGCATGGTGAGGTAGGCAGTACAGTATTATGGTTCAGAGGGCAAATTTTGGTGGCAGGAGTTGTAAACAGTTGATGAGCCAACCAGTAGTTAACTAAGATGCTCCCTGGCAATATCAGAGTTGTCAAGAGAGCTTTTAAAAGTTTTATTTAATTGTTTTATGATTTTAACTTTCTACAGTTCACGTTACCTGAATAACATCATCCAGTGCTTCACAGTACCATACTATTATCATATAACGTTGCAGACATGTTTTGAAAAATTCAAAGTGTTGATACCTTAAATGTTACCATGCCTGTGCATAATTTGCACCCCAGAGACAATAAAATGTTACCTTTGGGGGCAACCAAGTGGAAATGTCCAGAAAAATGCAATTTGGATACAATTAGATGTAAGGAATGACAGCCATACTAGGATGTCAACCGGCTGATTATACTAAACTTTTTTTTAATATAGTAGAATCAAGTAAATTATTCACATGTTTAAATAAATATATATTGAGAAGTGTGTCAAAACTTCCTTTACTAGTTTACAAAGTAATTATAAATTTTACTTAAAACACTTGTTCCTCTTAAACTAGATATCAGATAAATAGATACCCTATCTATTTAAACTTGTTACCCTATCTTGTCAGGAAAGTCAGTGTTTTTATTCATAATGAAAATAAAGATACACCCCTTACAAAAAATAAAATTATAATCCAAATTTCAATTATTCAAATTTCTTCAGCCGTCCAAAATGAAACTAAAATAATGTTAAATGTCAGTCATTTTTGCCAGTGACTTTATATCACAAGTTTTTTCAGCTTTACCTTTCTCTTCAGAACTCCTTCTGGACCAATTACTTGCTCAAATATGTGCTTGCCCACATGTGAGTCTACAGCACTGAGAGGGTCATCAAGGAGGTAGATGTCAGTATCAGCATATACAGCACGAGCCAGACTGACACGCTGCTTCTGGCCTCCACTCAGATTGATGCCCTAAAAGACAAAAATGATACTGTATATCAGTTCATTAAAGGAAAAAGAGGATAAATGAAAAAGAAGAGAGATTAAGAAAAGATGTTGTTATAGATTCAGCTACTCGGAACAAACGGTTCCAAGTAGCATTGGGTATGGCAGGTCCATAAAGAAATACTATACAAAAATGAGAGATTAAGAGATGAGAAAGGGAGAGATATATATGGGAAAGATTAAGAAATTATACATTAAAATGTCAGTACATCATACTAGAGTATCACAATAAAAACATGAAATAACAAAAATTTGTAAGATAATAATGTAAATTAGTCCAAATTTCCCTACAATGATTTGTGTTTTATAAGAAAACAGCCGCTTTCTTACTACCATTAATCCATATAGCACTCATAATGGTGACACAGTCTTGAACCGAAACTAATAATTAACAACAAATTTAGATCTACTGCACCAGGTAACATTTTTTCTATCACTGCCAAACAATACTGGAAGGTCAGATATTTAAATGAATGTCACAGGATGTTGAAACAACTATATTAATAAAAATAATAATTATATTTTATTTATAGGATATACAAAGAATCAGATTACAGTGGCTACTTAGTAGATGTAGTACAGTAATTGAATGGTTTATAAAGCCACTAATTACACACAGCACTTGAAAAACTTGCTCATCACAGAGATCAATCAATTGTCCCATGAAGGAAGTGTGCCCTCTGACCGGAGCCAAAGAATTGAACAACTTTTAGACATATTCTCTAGGAGCACCCTTGATAAAGCTAACAGGTTTCATGTTACTGTTACTGACAAATAAAACTGCAAACAGAAAAATGCATTACAGTACTTACTTTCTCGCCAATCTCTGTCTGATCTCCACCAGGAAGCATTTCCAAGTCAGGTGCTAGAGCACATGTTCGGATGCAGCTGTTGTATCTGTCCATGTCCTTTTCATTATTAAACAAAATGTTATATTCTAAGGTAGAATTTTGAATCCAAGCTTGCTGAGCCACATAAGCTATGCTTCCCTGAAACAAACAAAAAAAATCACATTAGAACTCTGTAGAACCTAGAGAATAAAAAATTTCCAAAGACAAGAGTCATCAGTATAAAGTGTCATAGGGTCAGCCAGAGAGGTTATGTCAAGCTGCAGGAATGTGACAAGTAGGGTTCCCCAAAACTTGGTCCTAGGACCACTGCTGCTCTTAATTTAAGTGAATGACAAAACCAATGAGGAATGTAATACCTGATAATTACTGCAAAATATTACAAGAAATTACAAACTCCAGGAGTGAGCAGACAAATATAGCTATTAAAGTTTAACCCCAACAAGTGTAGGGTAATGTAAATGGGAAATGGTGAGAGGTGGCCAAAGGAATCAACACCAAAAGTGGAAGGCAACTACAGAAATCAAAAAGTGAGAGAGATTTGGAAGTGGTTATAATTCCAACACTCACATTCATACAGCATTCTATTTCAGGGTATTCCCCTTATCCAGCCCTGGACACTCCAATAACAGAAGGCACTGGAGCAGATCAAAGTCCCAAGCCAGACACAGAGAATAGAAAAACGTTTCCCCACATGGAAGAATCTGTGGCGGCAAAATCCCCAAGAAACAGAAGGCAACGAATCCTAGCCAGGAAGCTAGGATTCGTTGGATTAACTAAGCTTGGTTAACTAGGATTAACTAAGCTTGGTTACCTCCGTCATTTAAGTGCAAGGGATAGTCCACAGAGAAGGCCCAAACACACCTAAAGTATCACCACTTCCTAGCCTTCAAAACCTCAAACATTTCATAACTGAGATTAAAGGGGCAGATCCCCAAGCCTGCCAAACAACATCAGCTAGACTGAGGAAAGAGATGGAGAAGCAAACTTGAAGAGGGTAGAAAACACCAACTGCCTTAACTCTGGATTTTGAAAGGCACACAGGCCAACCATGAGATAACCACAACGGCACTAAGTGACAACCAACGTACACAGGCAAACTTGGCCCATAAAGCACCAGCTGGCCTCATAAGCAGAGTCCCTAGAATTTGGCCACACATCTGCAGGCTCAAGGTGGAACATATTCCCCATCCTACAGACAGCATAACAGAGGAAGTAAGAATGGCATTTGGAATACCTCAAAACCGAGGCAAATCCTTCAAACTCTCATCCTGTAAGGACAGAATCGTAGGGGTTTGTCCATAACAAACCCTCCGAAAATTGCAAAGGGCTTACTGAATCTCGAAGGGTCGACCAAGCAGGAAATACTGGGGACAGGAGCCACTTGCTGAATGCTATCCAACTGCTTATAAACAGCCTAGGGGAAAATGTGGTTGTTAAATGATGTAAGTGCCACACTATTTAATAAGAAGGTGAGCACCTTGTGTTACCTTTAGACAAAAAATCAGCCGACCCCATCCACAAGGCTTCGCAGAGGAGTCAAAGACCTGTGCACTGCTAAGGGTGAAACACATTCCACCAGAAGTTGGCCTCTCAGAGACCATCACCTGAACCCACTGGAGAAAGCAACTCTGGCTAGGCAGGGGCCACGCCAGTGAACACCTGTAAATGATCACTCTAGGTACGTCCGGTTCAAAGTGAACAGTTAGTCCACATGAAAAGTGAGGCATAAATATACAAGCATAATAAACCACTAACATACAGAACAATTACATAACCTGCAAATGACTCCTGCAGGACAAAATTAGGGTCTATAAAGGCCAGTGCTTAACTGAAAAAACTGAGACTCAAAAAGCAATAGGGTGGGAAATGCCAGGCAAAATGACTAAGGTTTAAGCCTAGAGGGATTCAGGACAATATGTATATCCATAACAGTAAGTGGAACTAACAAAAGAACTGCTTCAAAATTGGGGTGGCTTGTCCACCATGGGTCTTTGTTTCTTGTTTTCTAAGCTTGATTTATCTTGCTGTTTATATGTTTAAATGACGATTAAACTAATTATGTATTACATAAAATTCTTTATGGTAATGCTGAGTATAGTGATAAGACACAGTGAGGAGAGAGCTGACAAGGATGTTATTGTCATAAAAAAGAAATGAGAAACAAAATATAGTACATGTGGTACTAAAAATTCACACAAAACATATATGTCTATAATATACTGTGTCTGTAATATACGTTTATAATATGTAATATATATCTACAGTTTATGTTTTATAATATACCTTCTCAGTTTATTATGAAACACAAACACATGAAAACATGAACAATATTGCCAATACTGTATTTCAACACATTACTGTACCTTAATATTAACCCTTCCAGACTGTTTCTCCATTTCACCTAGGATTGCTGAGCAGAGTGAGGACTTGCCTGCTCCAACACTTCCCACAACAGCAACCAGAGAGCCTTCAGCCACAGTAATATTGATATTTTTCAAAATCGGATTTCCATCCTCCTCACCATGACCCCAAGCAAAAGTGCCGTCCTTAATTGTAACAGAACTATCTGTAGAAAAATATACAAAATATGATTATAAATACCCATAGATACTAGTTTTCAGAAGGGTAAATGCAGTACATGTATAGTATGTTAAAAATTTCAGGGGTAAAAATTAATATGTATCAAATATTGAGTTACATTAGAAAATTCAAAGAGCCTATAGAAAAACTATGAAAGTAATATGAAACAGTATTATCAATGAAGCTGTTATTTAATTTCAACAATTGAGATTATGACAATTACTTGAAATTCTGCATCATCTAAAGCTTCACCGCAAATAACAACGTCAAGAAAAAACAAATCTGAATAAAATCTTGTACAATATGATTTGCAATAAATAAAAAGATATTCGCATTTATCCTAAGTTTAGAAATTGTGGAAAATTTTGTTCTTTATGCAGGGTTAAATGTGGGTTATAAGATGGACCGAAATTTGGATTTTCACGCACAATATATTTTTGTATTTAATGAGCTTTATGGATTATATTCTAACATCCCAGGTTTGGGATGTAATAAACACAAGTAATAAACTAGTTGTAATAAACTAGTGTAATAGTACACAAATAATAAACTACAACCACATGGGAAAAAATGTACCTAGCTCGCTGAGATTGCTCCAAGCAAATGGGTCACATCAGATGTGGGCCAAACAGAACTCCTGCAACTCATTTACATGGAGCAATCTCTGCAAGATAGCTTCAGGGAGCTTCAGGGAGCTTCCCGAGAAGAGAATGCAGGTATAAAAGCCCAACATTAACTTACTCTCCTTGCTGTCTCTTGATACATTGTTAGGGTCCAATTCGTCAGCATTTAGGAACTTATTTAGTCGCTTCAAGGAAACACTTGCCTTAAGAAGAGTAACAATACATTAGAAGACCATATACTGCAGTAATATAATATGTGTCTACACTTTAAGTATATATTCAGCAATATATCACGAAAAATAGTTTATTTTTGTTTGTGTATTTATTTTACAACATAATATTTCAAATAAATATTACTAACAAATAAAATTTAATAAAGTAATAAGCCATACAAATATTGTACTGTATACATACAAAAATTATGTACTTACCCAATAAATTACTATATATACAAGTACTTTATATATATAATACATATATGTATATATACATATATATATATATACATACATACAGACTTAGGTATACATTTGTAATGTATTTAGTTAATAAGAAATATTAAGGAAGCCACATGCATTATTTCAGACACTACAATCTACAGAAGTTCATTTTGATACAAAATGTTTATGGTAAGCTTATAAACATGCAAAATTAATGATGTGGAAACATTCACCAAATTAAAGGATTTTAAGGAAAATATCTACTGATTACCCACACTTAAGACAATGATAAAACAACATGCAGTGAACACATACTCATCTTAACAAAGAATAATGCATACTGAGCTTCCATCAAATTATAAGTAAATTCGATATACTGTACGTATAAATTGATATAAACTGATACAGAAACAGTCGTATAATTCAAAATTAAAGAGAAAAAACACACTGGCAATATAATGAATTGCAAATAAGTTTTAAACAATTTTAAATTGTGTAGAAAGAGAAAGATACTCTAAGAATAATGAAAGAACCAATCTTCAAGTGGGTGTGAATAATCCTGTTAACTAAGGTCTGTAATGCAAAGCGGAATAAAACTAGATAAAAGTACCCATGAAACAAATTGTAATAGTAAAGGTTGTGCATATGGTGTATATAACAGCACTCTCAAATACAGGATAATGAAAAATTTGGATGATTTGGAAACATTCACCAGATTAATGGATATTAGGGTTAATTAATCTCATTAATTGCTCTACTTAATAGAAGCACTGGGAACCTCTAATTGCAGGCTGGATCTGCATCCAGATCTGGAAACGTCTACTTGGAAATTTGATTATACAGTGTAACATAATGAACATCTGTATGACAAACATACTAAAGCCAATAAATATACTGTATACTGTACATCATTTTCTTTGAAGTGGCCATAGACAGCATGCCCATGCCATCCATCCCAGACCCAGACTTCGAGAATTCCATATTCACCAATATTCCACATTCAACACACACAGATATGTGTGTTGTGTGTGTCTTTGCCCAACCCTGCAGCCTTTTATGGTACTCTGTGCAGCCTTTGAAAGCAATTTAAATTAATGAAATTTGATCTGTAAGTTTGTTTTGGACATATTTAAATATACACAGTGCATACAACAATGTACGGCCTTATGAAATCTTTGCCAAGTAAAATGCGGTTTTCGTACGATGAAAGGGTCCCACCCCTGTGGGCCATGACTGGTTGTAAGCCTTTGGACAGGTTTTTCCATATTTAAAGCTCCCTCTCTCAAGCTGTTTTGTAATGCTTCTATAATGGGTTGAAGTTTTGCTTCAAAGATCCACTATGCAGGCCAGGGACATTGGTCTCTGTCATCATTCATGGCTTGCATTAATGTCAAGGAAATAGCAGCAGCTTGCATTGTACTCCAGAGCATCCTTCTCCTGATAGGATTGGATTTCCACTCCATTCATTAATAAAGTGTTCTGGCTCAATTGGAATAGGTCTGCCAAGCCCTTTCCATTATGAAATTAAACACTTGCTACAGCTTTCCTTCTGACTTTTCAGGATTTATTGGTCAGAGTGGTTCACATTTGAGGAGTACTGAATGTGCCGTGTCATATTTCTTGGGATTGACTAATTTGAAAAGATTGGCAAGCAGAAAAGGTCTCTTATCTGTGGATAAGCAACTCAATCATCAGCCACATGGTAACTTAGCAGTTTTTTAAGCAGTTAATCAGTGTTTCATGTTTGAATCTTTAACATTAATTATCAGTGACAGTAAACTTTTTGTTCGTTTTCCTGGTATGGGGTGCATAATAAAGGAACTAAACCAAAAACTTTCGTGCTCCACGATAGGGTTACTCTACGTATAGTACATATTTTCAAATATCAACAGATTACCAAAGAAATTACCACAAAATATGAGTAGATGATGGCCAAAATGCACATATCCTGCATGGCACTACTAAAAATATCCCATTCACATGGCCCACTGTGCTCCACTCATTTGTGCGGCATGCCATCTGATCACATAATGCTGCAAAATTTAAAGTTACAATAATTCATGATACCTTATAGAAACTTGTTGACAACACATTGCATCACTGGAATGTCAGTATGTTAATAGTTTATTGGTGGTTATTGATATACTGTACCTGTACTTCATCATTTTTGCTTTGTTATTAAGACCACATGCAAATTAGTGATTAATATGAACATACTGGTCTCCTAAGTGTAGTAAACAGCAGAGCAAACTTATTTAAAAGAAAAAAAGGCAAAATGTGTGAGACTATAATTTTACCATGCCTTAATTATTTGTGTGTAAAATAAAATGAAACCCATGGAGTACATTATTATTCTAGTCTGAGCACAACGAGCACAAAATTTAGCCTAAACAGTGCTCCCGTAAATTTACAAAGGAACAGATGTGCAGATTTTCCACAAATTGAAGTTTCTCAATTACTGAAGTACTGTCATTACTTCAAGGTTACTTCTCGTAAATAATAATCTTATACGGCTTATCAAGATCTTAATAATACAATAAAGTGATAATTCGAGTTATGATTAATAATGACTAAGAGAATATGTGTATCACACCTGATCCTGTTTTGTTTAAAAACATATAATCAAAACTACTACAGTAATAAATCACACTGTATCAACATTGCATACCAATGATTGTGGACTATTAAAAACTAATTACTGTATATATATCAAAGTGTTCATGAAAAATGAGAGTACACAGAGCAACTGTGTAGTATATGCACAGAAATGTGAAATGTTGCACACCAAAAAGTCTGTTTTGTGCAACAAAATATACCTAGTATAGCACATATATATATATATATATACAGTACAGTATATAATAAACTTTGTGCTCGTTTGTGCTTAAGCTTAAGCATCATATCTAAGACCTCCAACTAATGAAAAACCCACGAGTTTCTATTTCTTTACCTGTACAAGGCTGGAGATAAGCATAGGCAACATAGAGATCGGGAAACGTAGAAGATTAAATAAAGACAGGGATACGAATGCTGTTTTTGCATCCAAATTGTTTCCTTCTGACAAATTTACATAGGTCGCAAAAGAGGCCAAGGACACCTGTTGAAGGAGAAACCATGAGTCTAACTTGTTTACTGTCATGAATTTTTCCTTGTAGTTAGGTGGGTAAAACAAATCAGATGATAAAAGTAGAAAATTAAATGTACATCCTAGAAAGATGAACTTAGAATGGTGTCAATTGCATAATAAAATAAAAAAAAATCCAAAGAATAATCCTCTAGGTATACAATGATTACCTGGGCATATCTCCATATAGTATGAAATACCAAATATCCATAAGCACTTTATATTTTATCTGCACCTTCAGAAAGAACTCCACAACTGATGACACTAAGTAGTATGACAATCAGTATGATAGCTTCAGGGAGTCAATGGGGCTTCCCTCAGAAACCCTCAGACGCATTCTTAAAATCTTTGTCATTTAAGTTTTGTTCAGTATTTGCTCTTTAAATGGGTTCTAAAACTTCATTCTGTACATTTGATTTAATGGTGAGCTGCTGAAGTACTAATTTAACTGGAACCTGAGGATTAACTTTCTAAGCGAAGAAGTAGCTATCCGCACAATGTAAACATTGGGGGGGGGGGGGGGGGGTTCACAATGTGATTATGACTACTGTACTGCACTCTAAACCCTGTGGATATGAGGGGTATGTGGATACAATTCTGTGAACATGGTATAAACGTCTGTATTCAATTAATCAATATCCATACTTTTTTCTCAAAACTGAAGAATATCAAGTTACAAATCAGTACAGTGAGGTACTATTGAAATACTGAGCAAAATATATAATGTCCAAAGCCATAACATACCCAAGCTAAAGATACTTTTTAAAAGCTATCCATATAATATCAGATAGAGAACCTACTAAAGCCTTTTTTTTTCAATAAAGTTATGAACTAATTTTGAGATAGCATCATTTTACAATGTTTGCCAACACACACCCATGTATGCCATTACTCATTCCACTCCAACATTTGTTACACTGTAACTACACCAAGAACATCACTTCAACCGAATTCAACATCCCAAATGCCACTATTCATACTACAAAATCTGGCATGACTTAACCCTTTCAAGCATCAATAATCCCATGAATAAAAAGTAACCACCTGATGATTGGTTCCGTAAAATAAATTAAAAAAGAATACTGTACAGTATATTTAAGAATATAAGTAACTTTATGAAAAAAAAAAATTAATGATGGAGTACTGTATGCTAATTTTTGTAAGTGTGCATGACAGCTAAGGAATTGCTTCAGTTAGACACAAACTATATAAATTATGTACAATACAATATTAGTCATACAGTATTAAAACAGAGTATACTACAAAATTGGATTTCGATTACTGTATATTAAATTTTACAATACCATTACTGCATATCTATAGTGCCTCAAAAAAAGCTTTCTTGGAAGTGTGCATTAGAAACAATAGATTCAGCATGCTTCTGTAGGTCAAGCCATTCACTGGGTTTACTGACAATCTTAGTTACCTGTACTGTATATGCTATAATAATTGGTGTTAAACCCAATGGCACACGAAGAATGTTTAACAAAGCAATAGTAACAAAAATTTTCTCTGCTGTCAAGGCATTTGTACTCTCTACAAGTACATGTGTAGTAAGGGAAGCAAAGACAACCTGTAAGTACAAAAAAATAGATACAGTAATAACAATAATAATACTGTACTAATAATATTTAAATAGAGAGATATAGATACACACACACACACACACTGTACGAGTTCGGTTATCCGACGTCGCCTGAACAATAACATTTGCATTATCTGGCCAAAATCAGGTAATGATAATTTTCTTCCAAACTTCACCATATCCGAACAGAAATTCGGATAACAGGAGAATAGGTTATGTAAAATTTTCAAGAATTACACATTTAAAGATCTACAGTATCATACATAAAGACAAACCTATGACAAGGTAAGTTGAAGTTTCTCTTTTAAATTAAATTTTTGATTTATAGTATGTGTGGAAATAAGAATTATGGTGGTTGTAGTACAAACAAATTGCAAACATGATCATTTTAGGACATCCCCTGTAAGAAGTCTGCTTATCTGAATGTCTGGCAAAACGGCTGGAATGCTTCCTATACAATTTGGATCAGTGAGCTTAGACTGTATGTCTCTACTGTATATAATATATATTATAAATGCTATGATCCCAACAGGATTTGAACCTGCAAAGTCAAGGATTATGCCACTGGCTACCACAATACTGATACCACTCCACCATCGGTTGCAAGTGGTGATGGAGTGATATTGGTGCTATCTCACTAAACAACCCACTCTTCTAATGGTACATTGCATTTTAATGCATACATAGCCCAAGAACTGATGTGCTAAAATTGTAGCAGATTGTGAAAGTGACATGATGTCCCTTTCCTGTTCATGGGTCCTTGGTTAGGTTTGGATAGGTCTGGGCAATTTAGTACATCAGTTTAGTCATGCTTGGGAGAACGGGCTACACCGAGTTCTCCCAAGTTCTCTCAGAGTTTGACCCTCCCAGCTACTAGGTCACATCAGCTATTAAGTTTTGTTTGGCCTACCAGGGACAAGGCCCAGAACCTGGCCAACCTCACAGATGCAGAGAGAGCAGGTAACACTCCGCCACCCCACTGGGAAAGCATCGAGAATGTCAGCGAACCAACAGAGACTACTGCTTGGTTTAAAGAGAACGAAGCCTCAAAACTGCCAAACGAATTCCCCAACAATAAAAACTAATTTTTTAATCTCTCGAAGCAAGTGTGAGTTTGTTAACACTATCCCCATCCAACAGTGGGCCCCCCTCCCCAGTTCCCTGTGGCCTTTGGTTTACTACTTCATTCAGGAATTTCAATAAGGAATCCATCAGGATACTGTACACCACAATGAATCCTTCAAGACACTCAACACCACATAACAATAACTCCATCAAGACACTGTACACTACATATGTGAGACCAGTGTTGAGTGCATACAATGTAAGGCTGTAGTGTGAAATCTAAACCATCTCCAGCACATAAGAAAACTCAAAGTTGAAAGGTTCACCACAAGGTAAGTATCTGAAATAAATGAATTATGAGGACAAGCTTAAAAAATAATTCTAACATTGCTGGAGACACAAAGATGTTAAAGTATTATGGTCACGTCGTACAAGATTCTTAAGCAGCATTGCAGGCGATGAGTCACAATAACGTGGCTAAAGTAAGTTGACCAGACCACACACTAGAAGGTGAAGGGATGACGACGTTTCGGTCCGTCCTGGACCATTCTTGAGAATGGTCCAGGACGGACCGAAACGTCGTCATCCCTTCACCTTCTAGTGTGTGGTCTGGTCAACTTAAGCAGCATTTATGAGGTAGACAAAGATATACAGTTATATACATCAAAGACAAAGGGACACACATGTAAAATTAACCCCGATAAAACAAATACAGTACATAAAATATTACGAATACTGTACAGTATTATGAAACAGCTTTCACTCGGAAAAATATTCCCTCTAAAGACAACTACATACCCAGTATTCTTAACACAATAAGTCACAACGCAGAGCATTTCTAATAAAAAACATGTAACCCACATTGCTTAATTTTTACGATTACAATACTTTCATTTCTGCCATAAGCTGTAAAATATTAGTAAGAATACCTGTACTGTAGCCACTATAAGGAATGGCAACATAGTCATGGGCATGCGTAGAATATTTAAGAGAGAGAGAGAAGTAAAAATCTTTTCTGCCGTCAGAATATGTGTTGGGTTTGACAATACATATGTGGCAAACATAACCAGTGTCACCTGCAAAGTGAAATAATAAAACACAAAAAATTAAAAGGATTCATGTATCTGAATTTCTGAGCTGAAGCACTTTGATTGTTCTCCCTAGACAGCAGCCTATATGATCCCATGAGACATTTAAACTGTCAAATTTTAAAAGCTTGTTCCCCCACTATGACCAGTAACATTCTAAATAGTCTGGTCACTTAGCTAGGAATAGGAGACATTGGTAAATCTGGCTTGAGCCACCACAGACACGAACTGGCTATCAAATAATAAACCACCTCAAAACAATACTGTAATTGAAATAAATGATGTCAATTATCATTACACTAACTACCAGCTGGGCCATCAGAAGCTACCCTGATCACAACAAGTCGACAGTACCCACCACAAAAAGGGTTGGAAGCAATAAGTGCTGTTGCTGGTTCCTCTAACTCTGTTGTGGAACTACCAATGACGGTGGTTCGGGTAGTGGCTGAGTGCCCAGCCTCTAGTTATCAAAGAGATAATTGGCTATTTTATTTAAAATTAAATTTGGAGAGGATTTTTCGAGTCTAGCATTTGTTGTTCAGTACTGTATTATAGCAAGTTTTGGCATCTTGATGGTGATTCGAGCTAGATTTGCCATTGTCAACATGACCTGACAAACTGGAATGCCTGGTCATAACAGGTGACCAGGTCAATATAGCCTGACAGGTAGAATTTGTCTATGTGGACCCATGTAGCCCATGGATTCAAGGAAACAATTGAGGAACTTGCTTAATAAGGAGCATTTCATTTTGCACAATGTCCTATTTTTATAGCAATAAAGCAAGATGTATTTTTTTTCTTTTTATGGGGAGTGTATTTTACTGCAAAGATACATTGAACATAAGATACAAGGAATTTTTCACCATCACTACTTGTTTCTAATTTACATGGCAAGGGTGAGAAATGAGCTCTTAATGGGGGGGAAAAAGAAAAGAAGGATGGGGTCCCCTTAATCTTAGCTTAGATTTGGATTCCATTTTAATATATATGTAACTGCCATACTTATGGATACATAACAAACTAGCTGTAATTTTGATAGTATATTGGGAAGCATAGTTTCATAACAAGAGAACAACTTACTAAGAAAGGGGTGCAGGTCCAAATGAAAGAACTGGCAGCATTGAGATATGCTGCATTCTTCAGCACTTTTATCTCCTTGGTTCTCACGCCCAGTACTTGGTCTTCAAAAGATGGTTCCCATGCATACAACTTTAATACCTACAGAATACACAAATGCTATTGTAAGATATTAAAGAGATGGAAATTTTTAAGTAAATAACAATACTGTACAGTAGTCTGGACAAATTCTGTGCATTATAATTTTGTTTCAATTTCAGTACAATATTTTAATTTAAAAAAGTTCTAATAAATTTGTGGTATACACACTTTTATTAATGATATTTACATAACCTAATAACTTTAACACCTCACTTAAAATTTGTTCAAATGTGTAAGATTTTATTTTATAATTGACACTCCTTACTGCCTTTTATAATATCAAACACATTCTCATTCTACAAAGTAATATGATGACATGATTTGTTTAGAATTTCTTACTAGTCATTGATCCCCAAAGCACCTCTTGCCTCAGAGAACCAGATTGGGTTCCAAGCTCCCAGTAGGCTCTAGAGGATCTCAGAGGCCTGGTGTGATTCCCTAAGGTTTAGTTTGCACTGGGGAGCTACTGAGGGGAACCCTCCCAGAAAAATCGGTAAATATTTTTTTTTAAAAGGTATTACTGGACAATAATTTTTTACCTTGAAAAATAAAATGCTGCATTTTTAGTCCACTTTACACCCAAGAAAAGTAGTGTATAAGGGCAGCAACAGTACCACCAGAACAAAACAAAAAAATTAAATTGAATTTCTCTTTGTACTATACCAGGAGGTACTTGGTCACATATAGTGAAGCGTGAGGATAGTTTAAGTCCAATCCCATCTGCACCCACTTTGAACTACAGTAAAAGCAGCATCATTATACAACAAATTTCAATGACATCATCACACCTGTAACAACAATGTTAAAACTCAAAAGAATAAATCCATAGAAACTGACCTTTATTCCATTGAGAATTTCATTCATTAACTTCACACGCTGATCCTTGTTCTTCATTTGGCTCATTTGAAGTTGCTTAGTCTTATTAGCAATGACACCATTCACAGGGATCAGAACTATCATCACAGCCAGACCAGCAAGTACTGAGGGCCCTAATAAAGAAAACATAAACTGAGTTTATATTAAAAAAAAAATGTAGCACGACCTTTGGTCAAACCTCTGTATGTTTTGTATATTATGTAATATAAAAATAAAGACAAATTTACCATTTACCTCAACCTAACATTACATACAGTAGTCATACTAGTTACTAATATATAGTAAATCACAAAATACTATCAATTATACTGTAAATATTTTATAACAATTGAGTACTCTATATATAAAACTTAATACTTTCATACAATGTATTTTACTTTTTATTAATTTTTAAACATAATAAAACTTAAAGGGAATTTACCCAGAATCTGCCACAAGAAAAAAAGTGCAAGAGCAATCTGTAGCGGTGCTGACCACAGCAAGTTGATGTATGTCGTCAGGTCCATAAATCGTTGTGCATCTACTGCCATTAAGTTAACAATCTCTCCAACTGTTGATTCTTTTTTGGCCGAGTTTGAAATACGCAAAGCCTGAAAAAATGTAAAAAATCAAGTATTGTTTGGAGGAGAATATTCACGTGTAAAGGGAGCTTTTCATTTACACTCAAACCTACCACTATTTCTTCCTAAAGGCCAGCTTTTCCGAAGGCTGTACATCTAGGGTTCAAGCTTGGGAAAGGCTTTCTTCAACATTTGTATTTCAAACTCCATGAAACCTGGAAACATGAAACATATCACACTTTATACGGTACTTTATTTTTATTGTTTCTAGCAACTGGCAGAGATGAGTGAACTGCATACCTATTTGTACCTTCAGGTTTCCTTTTTATTTTACTCTTTTGTCTTCACTCAAATCCCCTATTCTTTGCCAAGAATGAGATCAACACCTTCCAAAGGAAGCCAATTGTCATCTAATCGTGATTAGTACATCCAAGAGTGTATCACACTTGTGTGTCTCCGAAAAGTCCTGCATAACACCAGCACCTTGAATGTTATCCTGTCTAATTGTCCAATTCCCTCCTTATATGGGAAGTGGAATCTTACCCTAAGGAACAACCAAGTGATTCTCTTCAGAAATGTGCTTTTTATATATACTAAAACCATATTTTGATGTTATCATTGCATATTTTTGTGAGCTATTTCAATTAACAGGAAGTTTAATCTTTAATAGAAGACCACAGATAATTTCTCTACACAATTTCTTTCTTTAAATAACAAGAAACAACTGTGTTCTTGCCATAGATGTTTCAGTGCTATACAGTATTAGAATATACAAGAAATTTTAGTCTATCTGCTAACCTTGCGGTAAACAGCAGAAATGACTCCAGTGCGAATACGAAGCCCAGCTAAGAACATCTTCATGAAGTACTGCCCAAGGACAAAAGACTGTATTTGTGCAAATACAAGCATCAGTATGGCATAGAAGTATCCACGCCACTGTGGCTGGCTCGCATCATTATTTTCAGTAAAATTGATTAGCAAGCTGAAAAATATAATAAATGTTGAGCACAAATTAACAAATTTAATTTGAGTTTATGTGCTCAAATTAATAAATTTGAGCACATATGAACAACTTAAATTTGTTCAATACAATATACAAATCATGATATAAGGGTTTTACAAATAAGTAACAAATTGTTATTTATTTATTTGTAAGAAGGTGAAAACAAGAGAAATTTATTGTTCACCGAGCATAAAACTGACTAAATAGAGAAAGTCAACCATGGCTACTACATCATTGGACTCATTCCAGTATTCACCATCAGTTGTGATAGAAACAAATAGAAAAATGTTAGGGTATGGCTGTAGTGATGTTTATGTTTGCACTGACAGTGTTTGTAGTGAAAAATGTGGTTGTAGTGAGGGCTGCAGTTATAATGGTGGCTGAGGTTGTGGTGGTGATTGCACATGGAATTATTGTGGCTGTTTTTCTTTAACACAGAAGGAAACAGGAGCTGATTACTTCTGACTCCTGTTGGCAGGCTTAGCACTCTCCCTTTCCACAGTATTGGTGGTGACATTTGTGGTGCTGGTAGAGGAAGTTGAGGTGTTGGTAGTAGAAGTTGTGGTGTTGGTAGTGGCAACTGTGGTGTTGGTAGTTGACAACTGTGTTGTTAGTGAAGAGTTAGAGAAAGCCAAGGGGAAGAGAGAGATGGCAGATGAGGAAAGGGGATCAGTTAAGGTAATTACTGCCAGGCATTTCAAGCTGTTTATATAGGCATAGATACCATATCTGTATACGAATAGATATTATATCTATATAGGCATATATACCATATCTATATAGGCATTTATATATGGTATCTATGCCTATATAGACCATATCTATACTGTATAGGCATAGATACCATATCAATATAGGCTGATCAGAGGCTGACATATATTTCACTTATGACAAATATCAAGACATGCAAAGAAATTTCACGATGCAAATGATTAGTGTCACATTAATGAATATTTACTACACAAGTGTATATGATGGGGTCCTAAGACACATTTAAAATTTAAATATTGTACAGTATACGCAATATTTTTAACCATTCTTGCAATAGACATAAATGATCATTCAGAGAAGTGAAAAACTTCATAGGGTAATGTCTAAGACAGACTAGTTGGAGTGGCATTAAGGTATGTGTATATAGAAATATTTGGGTAACTAGTCAATCTTTTTTTATCAGATACAGTACTGTATCGTTTAAAGTATTAAGGTGTTATCGCCTTAGTAGTATTAAAATGGTTGTAAAATCTGTTACCAGAGGGCTACATGGCCAATAAGAATAGAAAATGTTCTGGCATCATCATATGTAGGTGCTAAACGTTTCAAGTTGATACATGAAAGAGTTATCCATATCTTGCAGATACAGTACTGCAAATTTTGGAAGAGGAAATCAAATAATCATGTGAAAGCCATATCCAGTAGTAACCATATCAGTAATACCTAACAAAGACAATTCTGTATGTCATAAGGTTTCACAGCATAAACATACCTGAGGATCTGTGGGCTAACAAACTGTAAGACATCATATATGACCTTGAGTATAGCCCCAAAGAAGAAAGTTGGACCAAATGTGCGTGCCATGGTGGGTAAGATTGATACAGGCTTTTTTCTGCGGGTTCCATCATTTGCTACACCCACATGCACCACATTGTTTGTGTAGGCAGCCCAAGACTGAACATCCTGCTTTCTGTTAAAAGAAATATCTTTGTAGTTTTAAGCAAATAACCTCAAGTCACTATAAGATCAATCTGCAAATATCACAGTATTTTAAATTACTCAGTCTTCCCTAACAAATGTTAAAATTGTCTTGGTAATAAATATTAGGTCAAAATTACATGATCAATTCACATTGTTATTTAAGATGATGCAAACTGTATCACACACATCATTGGGATCATGATCTTGCCTCAAATTCATTAAGTCATTATCATTGGGGAAGGGGGGCATCAGCCTGAAGACAATTGTGGAATAATATGCATTATATAGACAGAAGGTAAACAAAATTGAAATATCACTTGATTATTGGATATACTGTACTGTTTCATACACATTATATAGCATTATTATACCCCAAGAGCCATTAACCTACCTACCTCTGATATTATATCTTAATTAATATATTTCATGAAGATAATTATCTGTAACTTCCCTTTATGTGATGCACTTATAATCCTCTCATTAGTACTTTTTTACTTAACAAATTTCTTAACCCTTTGGCTGTGCAGTTAAATGTCTGAAATGTGAATTGTAATGAGACATGCTCTTTCAAAATTCAAACTGTGGGAAGCTATTTGTATTAAAACTTTTAAACTCACAAGCCGAGTCATGTAAGTTTAATTTCATAAGTAGGGAAATGACTACTACACGTAACTGATTTGGGCCCATTGTTTTGAATACAGATTGCATATGGAATTACTGTAAACCACTGCTCATAAACCAATATAAACCAGTTGTTATGAATTTGCCAATACTGTACTTGTCAAATAATGCAGCCAAAATGTTAAGCATAAACTATATAAAACTAAGAAATTATTTATGAATACTATAATGCCATTAAAAGCTAAAAAAATAACTTACTTAAAAGTGCTTTTTAAGGTTTTCTTCCAGTTTTTGTCCCATTTTTTAATGGTGCTACGGGATGCATTTTCACGTGAGAGATCCCATGTGTCTCCTTGAACTAAAGGCTTTCTATAGCCTTTCCATATCAAGGGATCCATCCATGAAAATGTGATACGACTAAGGAAGGATGCACTACTTTCTGGGCTTGGTTTCTGTTGAGTGCACAAAACAACATATTAATCCAGAACCACCTTTTGTGTAATACTCACACTTACAAAATATTTTTTACACAAAAAAACTTCCAGAATGAGGAATTTCTTCATTCCTCAGATAAGCCAACTTGATCATAAAAAAATAAAAAACTCAAATTTTCCACAGACTTTTATGATAGTCATGAAAATAAAATTTATTTAGACAAGTTTTAATTACAGTAAATCTTATACTGCTCTAATTGGACTAAAGTAAATGGTCATTATTATTGACTACTTCATAATATTTTAATGTCCCACCAATTCTATGGGGATGTCATTCAACACAAAAGACCTTTGGCAATCATTTATCATATTGGAAAAAAATTGAGTCAACTGAAGCAAATTTGTTTCCACATACTGAAGTAAAGACAGGCAGGAAGTCCAACCCCTCTTACCTAAGCCAACTCTATCCTGAGCAGAGAGAAGAGCTGACAGGAGAGAAATTGAACCAGCTCTGCTAAGAAAGCATGAGCCTTCAAATCAACTCACTCACACTCTCTCTCTCATTCTCTCTCTCTCTCTCTCTCTATCTCTCATTCTTCATTCCCTCTCTTATTCTCTCTCTCTTATTCCTTCTCTTATTCTCTCTCTCATTCTTCATTGTCTCTCTCTCTCTCTCTCTCTCCTCACTTTTCCTCCAATATGCTGATATTTCTTTCTCCTCTGTTCTCATCCATTACAGTGGTTACAGCTGTTACAAGCACTATAATTACCCTTAAAGTGAGAATGAATACTGCTTCAAACTCAAATTTTAAACAAACTATCACTTTTATTGCAAAACATACCCGTTGGCTTTCACATGTCCCAAACAGTTTCTTTCAGTCAAGATTTTTCATGACATACTTTATTAACTTTATAAAGCCAGTATTTAAGAAAATATGGGTCAATATTAAGTTCCTTTTGAGTAAAACTCCTCTCTGGCAAACCTAACGCTAGTGATAATAATATCATTATCAAACAAGGCTCAATGACTTTCCCAAGCATAAAACCTTGCTTCTGATCAAAGATTTTATATGACATATCATGGTAACCCAATTCAATTAGTAATTTAAGACGATATGATCTCATATGAGTAGTTTATTATAACTTACTTCTCCGAGGGGAAAGTCGACATACTGTGGAAGAGCATCACCAAAGCAGTTCAAAAGGAACATCACAATAGTCAAAGGGAAGTACACTACATACAGGACAAAACTGAATGTGTCTGGATCTTCAGCCTGAAAAAAAATTAAATTAATCTGAAGTTAATTTTCCACTTTAATGTTGCCACTTTTATATGCAGTTGAACACCACAAGGAGTCTATTCACAATGCAGTGAATTATACTAAACTTTTTGAAAAGTGAACACAGCATATACAACTGAGATGCCCAGTGGAAAGGAAAATTAGTGTTATTAGGACAGGCTCATGGGTATAGGCAGTTATACAGTTCATCATTATTTTCTAAAACAAATTGTACAGCTCAAAATACAATACTGAAAGAAATGACTAGTATTACTTACTTGGTCATAGAGCCTGATGCTTGTGCGAAATTCTGGAATTGCGCACACCACAGCAAGCAGCCAGAATATAAAGAGGTAACCAGAGCTCTGAATTCCACGTTTCTTCTCCATTAGAACAAAGATTAGTTGAAGTAGCTGTTGAGAAACAATCAGTCTTAAAAATGGGAACCAATAATGACTATGATGAAAATTATAAATATGTATAGAATTTGATTTTGTAAATGTCACTCACACTGACCTAACAAAGTGATTTAAGTTTATGATGGTAATACAGTAGTGATCTTTATTTGCAAAAATAAACACAAGACTTTCTTACAGTTTTGATGAATACATATTTATAATTATATCATATACTGTATATATTTTCTACACAGTGAATCAGAACTAACTCTATACCTCTACTGACACAGACAAAGTGACAATATTTTGAATAACATCAGATTTTCAAATGCCTCTACATAAGGCAGTTATCCCAGATGGAGTTTCACCTTGGGTTCTGAGAGAATGCACTTCTGAGTTGAGCACCCTCACTTCAATTGATTTTTCAGACATCTTTGTGTAGAGTCTTGCCAGATACAGTATATGGAAAAAGACAGACAAAGTTCCAATCTACAAATATGATAGCAAGGATGATCCTCTTAATTATAGACCTGTATTGTTGACAAGCATGATTGTCAAAACACCAGAAAAAAGGTTTTTGACAAAGAATGCCATATAAGAGGTTGTTCTGGAAACAGGAACTTACTGGAGGGATGACAAGGAGACTGCTGACATGAATGAATGAATGAAACATTTTTTGACAGAAAAATGATAGTAATCAGAGGCAATGTATCAGATTGGTGAAATAAAACTATGATAGTACCACAGGGTTCTGTTCTAGCACCACGTTTTGTTCTAAGACAAAAAAAAAGAACCAAGAGATCTAGCGGGTGGTTCTGGATAGAAAACTCAAGAACTATATCAAGAACATTGTGCAAAAGAGCCTATGATATGATTTCCAACTTCAGAATCACTTTTAAATACTTGGATGCCAAATGATTAAAGAAATCAATAGCAATGAATGCTATTCTAATAACGATCTGTAAATATGTACTGTTCTCACATGGATCTGTAACAATGAACATTATTATAATATGTATCTGAAACACTGTATACAATTTTAACACAGATCTGTAATATTGAACACTGTTATAACATGGATCTGTAACACTGAACATTGTTACAACATGGTTCTGTAACTTAACATTGCTATAATATATATATCTGTAACACTATATACTGTTTTAATATGGCTCTATAACACTGTATACTAGTCTAATATGGATCTACAACACTCATAAAAGAGCTGTAACAAGGCAGCACTATGTTAAAAGCTGTAACCAGCTTTTAACATAGCTGGTTTTCAGATATCACAGGAAAACTCACATAAATAAACTCTACTGTTTTTTCTAAAACAAACAAATCTGGATTAAAGAGGGACACCCTAATAGCTGGATCAACCATTGTATAGAAAGATCTGCTGTGTAGAAGTCCAGATTTTGAAGGCACCAGTGTACTGTATTATACTCTTATAACATGTATTGTAACTGTAATAATGTGCAATATGAGTACAAAAATATAAACTACTGTGCATTAATTATATGTACAGTACATGTAAACAAATTAATATAAAAGGGTAAGAGTAATTAGAGTGTATATGAATGAGACACCTGAAAGCAAATAAAAATGAGGGCAAAGTTAAGGAAGAGTAACTTAATTGAACTATAGTAATCTGTGTATGAAGTAAGAATTACAAAATCTACTTAAGCATGTTATATGATATAGGGGTTATATGATATACTTTACAAGATACTGTAGTTATAATAATAATAAATTTATATAAAGTAAAAACAATATACTGTATTTGATACTGTCAAATTTGTAGGTCAGAAATGTACAGTATATAAAGCCACTCTGGCCACAGGCCAGGCTTGGGGAGTAGAACTCCCAGAACCCACCCCAGGTACAATCCAGGTGCAATATGCAGAGCATCTACAAAAGTATAAGCAAATATGTAATACTGTACTATACTTACAATAGTCACAAAAATGACTGATGGCATCATATAGTTCACACCAGGAACATTATTGTCAATACTATCTTGCTGAACTGCATAGAAGAAACTGATGCACTGTAAACTTAGTAACAGCACTGACACTACCTGAAAGCAATTAAAAAAAAATGAATAACTGTAATATAAAGGAGTGAACACATTTTTACAAAAACTTACACCTTTCCATATTATTTATGTTTAAATATTTTGAAAAGAATGATATTCAATGAACTTCAATTTTTGTCATTAATACTGAATAAATATTATGAAAGCAACACTTGCATATGAACATAAATCCTAGATCTTACAAGATATTTAAGTTGAACCTTTCATATACTGTATGAAGACAAAATGCCACAGGTAAATCTAAAGCACAACAATGATACATCACTGACCAGCTTGGATATGTTGAGCCAGGTCCATGGCACCAGTCTGTCAACGCTGTCACGGAGGTAGAAAATCTCTAGTGGAGCAAACAACCACAGAAACCCACATGGTACCCACACAAGCACTGTCTGCTCAAAACACAGAGTGAAGTCGGGGTCCGTTGTATTCCATGTGACATCCAAATCCTAATGCAAAATATGAATGGATGAAAATGCATCGATTTGCAAACATTAGGCTTATTAGACATCAGAAAAATATAAAAATTACAGTGTATGCCTGATTTGGGAAAATGAAATTACAGTAGTTACAACTGCTGCACTATGGAATACAGTACTGTATATGAACATTTCTGAAGGGAAACTATATATACATGAAGTGCATATATTTATATATATATGTACTGCATACCTGTACATACGTATATTTTTCAAAGTTATACATAATGAACACCACCACTGACACGTCAATACAATTTGTGAGAACAAAAAAGTAAATAAAATGAGAAACGACGAAAATAAATTAACAGTTCCTCATTTCCCCCCCAAAAATATGTAGGGGCCACTACAGCTAAACCACAAGAGAGAGATCCTTTTTACTTGGATTTTTGTGCTTCCTGAAAGGTTAACAATATAAAAAAAAATCAGGATTTTTTTTTGCACACCACACATTTAACAATGTGCACAGTGCAGGGGTTTATGACCCCTAAGCACTGAAAAGATTATGTTCCCCCATATGCCATATACTGTATGTACATAAATCAAAATAAAAACAATAATAAACTGTAAAATATATTTCTTAATGAATAAATATAATAATTTGTATGAATAAGACCTATTATTGCATTACCTTCTTGCCTTGAACTAGTAATATGTAAGTGCTAAGCCAGTATGACTAAGTAGTATCTTACTTTGAAGATAACATAGCATTATAACTTACAAGAATCAAACTTGGTGTACATGTTTACCGAAAAACGATGTAAAGTTATCGGTGTACACATTCCTTGAAACAAACATTAAAGTAAAGTATTGTATATCCACATAAGTATACATTACTACCACAGGACCAGAAGACAAGCACTAAGAATGTAAGGGGGCCCTGACGGCTTAGGGGACAGCGCTCGGGATTCGTAATCTTAAGGTTCCGGGGATCGATCCCCGGCGGAGGTGAAAACAAATGGGCAGAGTTTCTTACATCCTGATGCCCCTGTTCACATAGCATTAAATGGGTACCTGGGAGTTAGACAGCTGCTAAGGGCTGCTTCCTCGGCATGTGTAACAAAAAGGAGACCTGGTCGAGGACCGGACCGCGGGGACGCTAATCCTTAAAATCATCTCAAGATAACATCTCCAGAACACGAGCACTGGTTAATGAGCCCTAAGCTCAAGCACTAGTAATGAGCCCTGAGCACGAGGACTGGTAATGAGCGGAAACATGAGCCGTGCAGACAGTTGACCTGTTGCTTGGGGTTCACGTGACGTTTCGCTACACACCGGATCCTCTCGGATTACTTTACACAGCATGAGGCTCACCTCCACTTTATATTCACACTATATTACAAACACAATTTGCACTCTGAGCGGTGTATTATTTCCTTCTGTCCACGTTTAAATGTTCAGTACAGGCTCAAGGCACCGAAACGTGATTAGAATTAATAAAGATAAAAAAACGTACCCAAAATGTCGAGTTACAAAACTCGTCAAGCCCACCCCCGTCAGACATCTCGACAACACTAACACTTGCTAGGGAATGTTTTGTTGCTTGACCACAAGCTCCGCCCTCAAGGCCACGTCATATAGAAAGCTCCGCCCTCAAAGCCACGTCATATAGAACGCTCCACCTCCTAAGAATAATGTCCGGAGAGCTCCGCCCTTGCAAATGACGTCACAGGAAAGAGTTTGCTTGCTCCGCCCATAAAGAAAACTTCACAAGCTCCTCTCTGTGGGTGATAACACACGAGGTTCCGTCCTTTGTACATGCCGTTACACGAAGAAGCCTTGTCCTTGATGATGACATCCTCGCCTAATAAATATGATTGATGTCACAGGAAGAGGCTCTATACGTGGGAATGTCAAAGGAAGAGGCTCTGCACGTGAGAATGTCACAGGAAGAGGCTCTACACGTGGGAATGTCACAGGAAGAGGCTCTACACGTGGGAATGTCACAGGAAGAGGCTCTACACGTAGGAATGTCACAGGAAGAGGCTCTACACGTGGGAATGTCACAGGAAGAGGCTCTACACGTGGGAATGTCACAGGAAGAGGCTCTACACGTAGGAATGTCACAGGAAGAGGCTCTACACGTAGGAATGTCACAGGAAGAGGCTCTACACGTGGGAATGTCACAGGAAGAGGCTCTACACGTGGGAATGTCACAGGAAGAGGCTCTGCACGTGGGAATGTCACAGGAAGAGGCTCTACACGTGGGAATGTCACAGGAAGAGGCTCTACACGTGGGAATGTCACAGGAAGAGGCTCTGCACGTGGGAATGTCACAGGAAGAGGCTCTACACGTAGAAATATCACAAGAAGCTCTACCCTTGGGAGGAAGTCACACGAAGCAGCTTTGCTCCTGAAACGGTTATATACGAATAGACCAGAGTCCCCTAAGGATGACGTCCAAAGCTTCCGAGGATAGTATGTGGCACGAAGCTCACGCCCAATATATGACGTCACACGAAATAGCCTTGTTCCTGAGCATAACATCATAAAACGCTGCTTCCCGGTGACGACGACACCCGAATTGTGTCGTAACTTTTTTAAAATACATCAATGTCAGAAGAATAAATAAATAGTGAATCAGAAGAAGTTTCTCCCCTTTAAAAACATAGCACTTAGAAGCTCCGCCCCTGGGTATGACGTCACAAGAAGCTCCGCCCTTGGGTATGATGTCACTAGAAGCTCCGCCTCTGGAGACAATGATACAGAGAAGCTCCGCCTGAAAAAATTGATTACACATCAGATTAATATATTAATTCAAGTACACCTACAGGGAAATTAAGATTAAGTGCCCATCTGAAAGGCTATGCGTGCTAGTGGCTTTACAAGAATGTAAGTGCTTTTGTATATATAATTAATAATTATATATACTGTACAAGTGAACAAATCCACAAGGGCCGTGATGAGGGTTGTTCATTGTTCATTTGATGTATCACGCTATTGTGATTTCGTTGTGTATATATATATACAAGAGTTCTTACACTCTTGTAGTAAAGCCACTAGCACGCATAGCGTTTCGGGCAAAAACACATTCGGGCCAAAAACAATGTAAACACAAGTACAGTACTCACCTAACACTTTTAATATTTGAAAAAAATATTTTGTTTAATGATATATTTAATTTATAAATATAAATATTGATGCTGGTTACCAATAATAATAATAATTAATATAAGTGTACATTTGTTTTAGAGTTTGTATACGCAACTACAATAACATCATAGTATTTCAAGCGACCTGTCCTCAGGTATCTCGAACTTTCAAAACATGGAGAAGAAAAGCTCTTCAGTTCTCGAAATCGATGAAAATATAATACGTAGAAAGCTAGTGTTAGAGGTAAGACCACTAACATACGAGTGAAGATGAAATTTTGTTTATATGCAGCTTCCGCATGTGAAGAGAATAGCAATGTGTGCTTACCTTACATCACAGTGCATTGTTTATAGTGTTGGCTCCACGAATTCTGGAAGAATTATGCAACTATAGCCCCCCAAAAATTCTACAGAACCTGAAGAAATAAATCTAGAAGACTCAAAATCACTTCAAGATAATCTATACAGGGTTTTGAAATGACCAAAAAGATTGGCAGGTGCGGTTTAATGTTACCCAATGTGGGGTTCTGAAGCTAGGTAATGATGAGGCTATATAGAGTTGTTGGATATGAACTGGATAGCATTGAAATTGGAGACAGGCCAATTGGGTGCTCTATCTATTTAGATACAGGTCAATAGTATCTGCTATACTATTAAGTATAGCAGATAGTATCTTCTATCTGCTTGGATACACTGGGAACCTTACCTACCTTGCGATGGTTCTGAGGATCAGTGTCCTAGTTCCCCGGTCTCTGACCAGTCTGGTCAACCAGACTGTTGGACAAGGCTGCTCACAGCCCGACAAATGACAAATGAATCACAGCCAGGTTGATCAGGTGTCCTTTGGAGGGATTTATTGAATTCCCTTTTGAACACCATGAGAGGTCGGCCAGTTATGTCCCTTATTTAGACTAGTTGACTAGAGGGCCCCTCACACTCTAGTGGCCTCGACTAGGATAGGAAGCTGGCAGGTTATCAAAGGTCCCCAATTTGTCCTGATTATTTTATCTATTTGGATCTTAAATTGCAGCAGTATTTTGGCATTATGTGTAGAGGGAGAGTGTTGAAAAGTTCCTAATTAATCTGTATATTATTGAAATTAAATTTGGTAAATAATCCTTCTCATGTAGGATATATACTGTTATCTTGAGGTTATCTTGAGATGATTTCGGGGCTTTTTAGTGTCCCCGCGGCCCGGTCCTCGACCATGCCTCCACCCCCAGGATGCAGCCCGTGACAGCTGACTAACACCCAGGTACCTATTTTACTGCTAGGTAACAGGGGCATAGGGTGAAAGAAACTCTGCCCATTGTTTCTCGCCGGCGCCTGGGATTGAACCCAGGACCACAGGATCACAAGTCCAGCGTGCTGTCCGCTCGGCCGACCGGCTCCGGCTCCGACTGTATATATATATACAATATATATATGTATGTATGTATGTTTGGCTTATATTGAGGTCCCCCCAGGGTCAAACTACTGACCCTTCCCAGGATGCAACACCACAACATGCTGAATAACTCCTGGGTACTTATTTACTGCTAGGTGAACAGGCGTATTAGGTGATATCAAATGCATCCAATCATTTCTGTCTCACCTGGGATAGTCCTGAAGTTGTGCTGGTTTAATACTTTTCACTGGGGGAGCTGCATTATAGTATATACTTATTATACAGGAGTTATTCTGGTGCATCCAGAATAATATTCTATTGGACTAATATTCACTTAATACTTCACTTAACACAATAATATTCACTAACACCAGAATATTCTGGTAGGGGTTTTGTATTATTGTAAATCTAATTTACTCTTTATTATTAGAAAAACGGCATACTGTATAGACAAAATTTAAAGATTTGTTATTTACAAGTTATCCAATAGCTTTATATTATATATAAGAAAAAAATTGGTACAGTAGCTTATTTGAGCTTAAGAGCCATCCATTGACAGCAGAGGTAATACTTCATAAACTGACTAATGTATTCCATGCTGCCTTCCACATGGTGGAACATAATATTGTAATGCTTGCTGTTTATGTACAGTATTTTTGCAGGCTATGGGTTAAAAAAGAATAAATGTTTACATTTTTTGAGATAAAATATAACATGATTGATGAATACAGTTACTGTATTCATTATGTATTATGCTGGGTACTGCAATAAAAAAAGTACCATGTTCGATTCTTGTTGAGATGACAGTGTTGTTTCATATTTTGTTTTATTTACCTGAGAGCCACCATCTGTCTAGTGGCCTCGATAAAGACAGGAAATTGGGGGTTTGTTGAAGGTCCCCTTATTTTTCCTGAGGATTTTTTCCAACTTAAATTTTGAAGTGCGGTGATGTTTTAGCATTTATAGCTTCGGCAAGGAGGTTCCATGGGTTTATAGCCCCTATGAGTGAAAAAGGATCTCATATTTTCTGTCTTATATTGTGACTTATTGAGCTTGAAGCTATTGCCCTTGTATGTTTCTGGAGTACAATCATGTCCTCACTAGCTTGTTGTAAATATCTAACTGGTTCACATATATCTAGCTAAATGATGAAGATACAGTATATATTTTCTGCCTTAGTTTGCAGTAGTGAATCCAGACATATTAATGAAATGAATCAAAAATAATTCCATTCCTTGCAGTGTAGTTGACAACTTGCTCCTTGCTAGGAACCTAGTCCATGAAAAGTTTGTTGTATAAATCAGTGGGGTAGTGCTTCAGAAGTTTTGCTAGGGAGTAATGATGGTTAGTGTGAAATATATACATGAATAGATGAGTGTCTTCAGTCATCTTCTCTCTATACAGTGCTCTCTTATATTCCTCTAGGCTGTTACCTACCCACCTTATGAAATTGGAAAATGGAGGGTAATGATAATTATATGGTCTGCCTTGGATACACTGGATAATATCTAGGGTCCCGGTAATACAGTCAGGTTCATTCTCGACGCACAGTTGACAATTCCTGGTTCGAATCCTGTGCGGAACAGAAATGGTTGTGCACATTTCCTTTCACCTAATGCCGCTGTTCACCTAGCAGTGAGTAGGTACTCAGGAGTTAGTCAGCTTGTTGTGAGGTTGCATCCTGGGTGGGGTCAGGAATTCGGCCTGGGGGGAGGGGACGACTTCGATAAAAGCCAAAACGTGTATGAAAATACTCTGGCTTCCTGTTCCCCAACATAGTGAATTAAATATTATATGACAAAACATATGTACTGTTTGTACTGTATTTAATATTTTTTATCTTGCCTCTTCTAAGGGAAATGTGCCGCAGGAACTAGATTCACTGTTTCCCAAGGCCTCGCCTTATGAACGAGCCACTACAATTAAACCTAAGCCTGGTAAGTACAGATAATGATTTTTAAATTTTCTTTGGTTATTTTGCTGAAAAACTACTTATCTATATATACAGTAGTAAGTTTTTTAGCACTTATTCAGTATTAAAATATAAGAAAATTTAATACTAATTATTACAGCTGGATTCTGTTTTTCATTATCCAGTACAGTATTACCTGCATCATACCTGGAGTGGGTTCTGGGCATTCTTCTACATACATTACAGTATTCCCAAAATCTGGACTGAGACTTGGCTTGACTTATAACTTGGTCGAACAGACTGTTTCCACATTCATTATGATTATTTAATTTGAATTTTATAAACATTATTATACAAGCTTATGCTACTGAACAGAATATCATTAAAAAAATCATCTATTCCTATAAGAGAGAGACTGTTTGTCCAAAAGTTGGAGGCCAGATGCTTGAGGCTAGCCTCACCAAAATTTGCAAGGGAAATGGTCTTGGGCATGGGATGGATATAGTCTGGTCAAGGTAGGCCTAAGTTAAAAGCTTTAAGAAATATACCTGTAAATCAACCCCCCCTTCCCCACCCCCCTGTGTGATTTTCATGAAGTTGTAAATGAAATCGGGGATGTGTTGTCCTTAGAGGTTTGAGTTACGCCTACTGTTTGCCCACACATTTTCATGATTTACTATATACAATACAGTATATAATGGAAATGTCTGTCTGTTCGAGGTTGGATGGGGGGAGTAGGGAGATGGGGTGAGAGGGTGGGAAAATAGAGGGAGATGGGAGGAAAAGGTGGAAGGAGTGAAGATGAGGGAAGAGAGGGAAGAAAATGGGGAGGGGGAGTGAAGATGAGGGAAGAGAGGGAAGAAAATGGGGAGGGGGAGTGAAGATGAGGGAAGAGAGGGAAGAAAATGGGGAGGGGGAGTGAAGATGAGGGAAGAGCCGTGGAGGATGTGGGAAGAAGGGTGGTATTGGGGGGAGGGGAGAGACAGGATGTCCTGGGCACCACCGGATACTCCTCTTAGTGCAATATACAGTACTGAAATAATATAGCATTATCAATCAACTGATTTGCATGATTTTTTTGTGTGCTTGGCTTAGCTTGGGCAATGAAAGAGAGACGTGTGGGGGAGGGTAGGCCGCTGGAACAAACAGCAACACCAAATGCAGACGATCAGTCGCAATAACATGACTGAAGATATGATGACCAAACGACACACCAGAAGATGAAGAGACGACGACGTTTCGGTCCGTCCTGGACCGAAAAGTCAGTTGATAATTGATAATTTCAACATTGACCATTATTAAATCGATTATTACAATTGACTTGGTAATGGTTCAGGACGGACCAAAACGTCATCGTCTCTTCATCTTCTGGTGTGTCGTTTGGTCATCAGCAACACCAAATGATATCACTGATAACCGCTAGCAAAATACTGGTACAGCTAGATGAATGTATCATACAAGTCATATTATTAGTAATTCGTTGATAACGAAGGAAAATTATCGGAGGATATTCCAGAGGTTCGTGTTGGTGGAGAGGAAAAACGTTACCAGGGTTGTTTATGTGTATCATCGGTTTGGATTGATGTTGGGCTTTACGACTATCAACCTATGGTAGGTTATTAAGGCAACCACAATACCATACCGACCAACCAGCAAGTATACTTTAGCCGTGAACATAGTCCAGGACCAAAGTAAACTCATTGTATATTCACCGAGAATTAAGCGGGTTACACCCTCTCGGTATACATGTCCCCGTGTCAATGGGTCCAGATATTAGTGGTAGTATTAGTAGTCAGGTTCGGTCTCGATGCACAATCGAGAATGCCGGGTTTGAATCCCTGGCGGGACAAATGGTTGGGCACATTTCCTCTCATCTAATGCCTCTGTTCACCTAGCAGTGAGTAGGTACTCAGGAGTTAGTCTGCTTGTTGTGGGGTTGCATCCTGGGCGGGGTCAGGAATTCGGCCTTATAAGGAGGGGGGGGGTGCGATAAAAACCAAAACATGTATGAATACGCTGGCTTCCTGAACCCAATATATGACTTGTAACTTTTCTGCCACCTCCCACAAGTCCGTAACGAATTAATTAAACAGTCTTCTCAAGGGAAGTTGATCTTCTAAGTTGTAAAATATTTATCCATTAATTCTCAAGGACGTTTCAGAAATTGCCAAGAGGTTATCAACAACTGTTGGCTGCATTTTCACGATGACGTGTTGAAATGTTGCATACATACTGAGAACTTAGTTTGGGCGCCGCCGCTGCCATGTGGCATGATTTCACTCGGGGTGGGCCTCACTTACCCAATATGGTGAAACAAGCAGACTGTTGGGCTCCACTTTCAGCTGTGGGGGGGTTATCACTTGCTGTGATATTGCACCATAGGGCACAAATGGCCTCCATTTATTATTTCAAACTCCCTGATATGTGGAAGGTGTGTGAGAGAGAGAAAAAAAATTAGTAAAATTAGAAAAAATTAATTAGTCAGTTACAGTTGATTTATTGACAGTTGAGAGGCGGGCTGAAAGAGCAGAGCTCAACCCCCGCATGAACAACTAGGTGAATACCAGTTGATTAACAGTTGAGAGGCGAGACCAAAGAGCCAGAGCTCAACCCCAGCAAACAGAAGTAGGTGAATTGAAATTGAAATAAGTTTATTGAGGTAAAATACACACAAAGGGATGAGGTAGCTCAAGCTATTCTCACCCCGTTCAGTACAACGTGTTAATACATACATAGACACACATCACAAACAATAAACATATTACCAAACATTCTGAGAGATAAACATATACATTTCCTCCTTCACAAGTAGTATGGTATCAGACGTGTGTGTGTGTGTGTGTGTGTGTTAGAAATACAGTATATGTAATAGACATTATAGAGGAAAAATAGATTGGGTAGTAGGTCCAAGGGGTCCAAGAGCTAAAGCTCGATTCTGCAGGCACAAATATTAAATGCAAATAGTAAATACACACATCTATGTATGCATACATACATACCTCACGATACATATATACATACCTCACGATACATATATACATAAATCCATCCATACATATACATGCCAACATCCATCCATCTCCTTGCACGCATACATACATACATGTATATATATACATACATCTATCCATCTCCTTGCCATATGGTTTCCAGGACAGTTTAACCATCCTGTTTATACCAACAATGAATTGACGCTAGCACAATGGGTACGTTCGTACCCAGACTTGGCGTCCATATAAGCATGAGGGAGTCCACGAGGCCCCACACAGAATTGTAGTGACAGCGAGAGGACAACAAGCAGATAAACATGAGACCGGACTCTCTCGCACCCTTTTTGAGTTTGTACAGTATAGAATATGTGTGTGTGGATCAGAGACTTGAAATTGAAATAAGTTTATTGAGGTAAAATACACACAAAGGGATGAGGTAGCTCAAGCTATTCTCACCCCGTTCAGTACATCGTGTTAATACATACATAGACACACATCACAAGCAATAAACGTATTACCGAACATTCTGAGAGATAAACATATACATTTCCTCCTTTACACAAGTAATCAGAGACTTGGGTTTGCTTAACCCTTCTCTGGTGATATTAGGGTATTAAAGGCCTTTAGGTAAGGGTAACCCGCATCATTATAGCAGATATTTCATTCAGGCCAAAAGAATTTGACACAACCGTAGTGTTGGTGAGAGGGTGATAGCGGGGACCGGGTGTTAGGTTCGTGTGGAGAGGGGTGAAGGCGGTGGGTGTGATAGTGGCGAGTCATGATGAGTAGCTGGCCACAGCCGGGGAAGGTACTGGAAGGTATCCCTCTCCCACCACGCCCCTCCCACACCCTGGGGCCTCTCTCCTCTACCCTTCTCCTCACCTCTTCATCCGCATGCTTTGCTTTTTATTTATTTATTTATACAAGAGTTCTTACACTCTTGTACAGCCACCAGCACCCACACCGTTTCTGGCAAGTCCTTAATCCTAATTTTCCCCGGAATGCGACCCGCCAAATTGTTTAATAACCAGGTACCCATTCACTGCTGGGTGAACAGAGGCTACAGTTAAGGATTGACGCCCAGTAAATCCTACCAGGCCAGGATACGAACCCAGGCCAAAGCGCTCGCGAAACGCCAGGTGAGTGTGTTACCACTTCGCCACGGAGACGGCTATACTGGTAGTCTAGGTCACATTCTTATTTCCACAAATACATTATTTTCAGTAGTACAGTTGAACATCATGAGCAGGATGTAAGCTCTTAATGCAGAAGCTAGCAGAGGCATCGTTGTTCTGTATCGACATACAGGAGTGTTTCAAGGTCATCACAAGCGAAGAGAAAATGAAGAACTACAAATTAATGGTGTAACACTTGAGTGGGTTGACCACTATCGGTACCTTGGCGTCACTGTCGGCTCTTAGCAAGTGAAAGAAAGAGGAGCTCAACCAATTCATAGGAACATGAAAAAGTCGACTCAGGGCACTGAAAGTTATGACCTGGAATGGGTATGGGGCCTCTATTGCCATGCTTAAAGTGGTGTACACAGCCTATGTGCGCTCCGTCATAGACTATGCCGCACCAGTTTTATGCACCCACTCCCAAAGCGATATGAAAAGGCTCCAGGGCATACAAAATGAAGTCCTGTCAATCATTCTTGGAGTCCCAAGAACAGTCAAAACATCTAATTTACGAGAGGAGTTCTCTCTCCCCAGTGTTAAAAGCAGACTCAGGGAACTGAATACTATCTTGCAATTAATATAGCCAGAGACTCCCATTACAGTGATGTTGCCAAGAAAAAACTGAGTTCTGTGCTACTTACAAGAGGAAACAGGAGAAGCAAAAAATGGCAACACCGGTCAGTCTGCTACCTGGAAGACCTTCACCTGCTTCAGCAAGCCCGTGAGCTCCTGCCTGTAGAAAAGTTGCCTCCCTGGGAGGATGACCCATGTAGGATTATTATCAACGAGATGCCAGTGAAAAAGTCCAACATGATATCACAAGAAATGAGGCACAAGTATCTTCAAGAAATTTATAA